GCTGAACGGAAGTGGCATGCAACACGTAAAGCTGCGATGATGGCGGGATGGCGACAGATCCATCCGTTGCCTTAGCAACTGCTTTCGCAATCCGTATGTTTCCGTTCATAGTCGTCTCTTGACCGGTTCAAGTTTATGTTCCCTCTGTCTTGTTGTTCAGCGTTGCTAATGGTATACCTCGATTTGCAAACACGCTGCATGTAGAAGAATGAGTTATGGTTAATGAATGATTGATGAGGATTGAATGACTGATAATGAATGACCTGATTTAGAAGAAATATAACTAAACAATAGTTGAAAATCCGAAAGCACTTGAAATCCTGAAATTCAATTATCGAGCGTGCTGCTGCCACAATGATGACTGCCATCTATACCGCACCCCTCGCGGGCATCTCGGAAGTTGCATGTACTCCCAACTTTACAATGGCCAAAGTTCACACAAGCTTGCTATGGTATGAGATAATCGGGGCTGTAACTCTCGTCGTTTACGTGCGGCAGCCTGGCAAAAGTTGACGGATGGGACATGCGTACACACGAATGCTTCGTTTTCTGTTGCACGAAAGATAACAGTGTAACGCTGTTTCTATGAACGGCGCATTTTGTTTAGCTAGCAGCCAGGTTAGTATCTTTTTTTCGTTTTGAAGACAGTCGGTTAGCGTAGTATTGCGGATCGTGTGCACCACTTGAATGCGCACGGGGCACCCCACGCCCCCGAATCCCCAAGTGCACCGCATCCTTAATTTACGACTTGCGCCGAGTGTTTCAAATGTCAAACTCGGGCTGTTAAGCTGGCGTCTGCTACAAACACTGGCGCGTATCCGACAGACCTCCACCCAGCGGCATTTGCCCGTACCGCGTCGCCCTCCGTATGGAACTGTTGTCCGCGGCGCCCGTCCACGCTCCATCAGGAAGCCCATTCCTAAATATTTTGAATGAATAACTCATTGACTGTAGCTGATTTCATCTCTGGTTAGGCGTGTATTCCCGCGCGGAGTGTGTTGCTATTGTCCGATTAGGCGCAGAACAACCGCCACGTTGATGCGTTCTTAATGGAATAAATGAAATGAACTAAATGAGATGATGTCTCTTTTGCCAGCTCTGCCCTCCTGCCTCGCTTTCAGACCTAGCGGCTTACATTGGAAAGCATTTCAGGTGCGTTCAAATATCCAAATCGTTTGTGCAGTATGGGGCGGTCAGATAAATTGCAGCAGACTGAAGCGCCCAGGGAAGGCCAGTCAAAAGAAGCCAGGTGATGTTGAACTTTAACAGAAGTGAATTAAGTGTCGTGACACGTGTATTCAAATATTTTTCTAGCCTTAGGCCTACAGCAGAAATGTTTTGTAGGTATCATGAATGTATCTGGTTATTTTGGATAGAATAGTGTTGTGGGTTGTAGGCCATCAAAGTCTATGTCGGGATACTGGTCTTTTATCAATCATAAATGTGGAGGGAGGGAAGATATTTACTTGGAACATGCTAGGCTTGTGACAATGTCAACGGTGATGATAGCGAACAATGAAATAACAATGGTCTCCATTGTATAGAAACCGAATTATTAAGAAATTTTGGTTCGCTTTTTCAAGAAGTATTTATCAGCTGATCGCATCACGGACGTCGGGCTACCTGTTATCACTGTAGAATATCCTCGTCTTCCAATGAATCCAGGCAGCTTTTCAGCTCTTAGAAGCAGCAAATGACACAAAATCGTAATTACGCTGTGCTCTTGTTGATCGCTTAAATAGAGAGTCGGAATGAATCGGCTGGATGCATGCATACTATGTTTGTTTGATGATTTGCATGTTTGAGAGTCAACCATCCACAAGATGTTATAATGATGTCATGCACAAGTCATTTGCGCAATTCTTTGTCAGCCAGTCATTTAGCCATGTGCAAGGCAATTGTTGCCTCGACATGTAGGCATATGTGTTTCCGTCTTTCATCAAATTCAAGTCATTTGTCGACCATCGTCGTCACTGGGGTCTTACGACGCACTCAGCTGCTGAGGCTATATGGCGTTACCGGCCTCTCACGCTGGCAAGAAGGACGGACACCACGAGGAATCGAACCCCGTATCTCTGGTTTCCCAGATGCGCAGTGGTTAGCATGTCATTCACCGACAAATTTATCCGTCTGCCATTCAGTCAGTTACACAACACGGCATCACAGCCGACCACCATCAGACGTCACGTGAGGTTAACCTACATCCAACGTGATTTGTTACGGCCATTGCCCGCAATGACAGGTGAATCAGGAGAACGGAAGAATTAGATCCAGTGGGGTAACCTGACTGCTCTGGCATGCCCTTGACCCTGCACGGCATTACCCCGGCATACCCTCACATGACCTAAATTTTCACTTTCGGCCTTTCTGGCTCGGCTGTCTCTGAAACGCAAGAACGTGCTGTTTAAATTGGTGTTAGACATGAATATTTTTAATGATAATGAGCACGACGAAATCAGAGACACATGTTGGTGATTTTGAAGCCACTTTTCGTGACATGTGACGTGATCGATCACGTGTCGAATGTTGACGTGACTCACGTGGCACAGCGGTTTCTGAGTGGGATTTACCAGCTACATTGATTTCCATTGAAATTGCCTCCATCTGACTTATCTATCGCAGTTCAATAACCAATTACTGCGTATTCAACTGCCCTTGCCGAGTCATATCCGACAAGTGACGGAACAGCCAGTTTTCAGGAAAACACAACAAAAGCGAGCGCAAGAGTGAATTCAAGCTTCATCTGGCGGCTCTATATAGCACCAACGTACTTGACAACAGTTCGAGCATGTAAATGCACGGGATTCAGGATTGTGTTGAGTGGCGTGACGTGCAAGATGCACGATAGGCTGTGGTGAAAAAGTTTATGCGATCTGCAAATGCTTTTTAGCTTGTAATATGGACTTCCCCACGGTCAAATGTGTTCAAAGGAGTTAAATGTTCAATACTGGAAGCGCACTCAGCGGCAACGTGATGTAGGGACAGGCCCCGGCCTTCTCACATCACTTCGAAAGCCTTCCACGTATTTCCGAAATGTCCTGGGCGCTGCAAAATCAGCATGGTGGCAATCTGCAGTACAATCCAACCCAAACCGTCTGTATCTACGGCTGACGGGCAGCTTTGCATTCGTGTGATACATGTGCCAGAGTGTCACGATGGTGACACCGTTCGTACGAAGATGGGACTGCAAAGGTGAGCGGTGAACAACAACGAGCAGTGGGGAATTAGAAAATGTGATAAATAGCTCCAGGTTGTTCTTGCATCCCATTTGTGTTCTCTCTCTTCCTCTTCCTCGCCTCCTCCTCTACTCTTCATCTCTCTATCTCGAGGATACGCTCGCTCGAGTAGCGCTCTCTCTATCTCTCTTATCTCTATCTCTCTATCCCCCTCTCTCTCTCATCGCTCTCCTCTTCTCCTTCTCTCCTCTACCTACTCTCTTCCTCTCGCTCTCTCTGCTCTCTCTCTCTCTCTCTATCTCTGTCCCCTCTCTCCCCTCAAGCCTCTCTCAAGTTCTCTCAGCCCGTGCGCGACTGGCCACGGCAGTACTATGCATGCCCTCCGCCAGTGATCCCGCTTTGCTCGGGCCCTACGTGCTAAATTGCTAAATAGATCCTTCATTCGCGGGCCTTTCCGACCTCTTGGAAGATTGCTTCAATCATGCCTTTGCACAAGTCTGAACCACCTATGAAGTTACCGACAGTTTTACTCATCTCCATATCACTGACCCTTGCAAAGATTAGTGAAAAGATTGTATGTCATAGGCGGTTTTTCAGCTCCCCTTTCTGAGGACGTGCTGAGCAGACCACGACCCAGCAGAATGTTCTGGCTGCGCCCTTGACCTGTTCACCTAATTGCCGATCAGTTTTCAGTCCACCCAGGTACGCTACCGACATCATCCTACGTATGTCCCTACGTCGACCACTGTTTGTGGATCGCTCACGGCATCGATAATGCCTGCTAGGTGGTGATGCCTGGTTGCCAGGATACGGACCTGTTCTCAGCCTGAGCTCTTCAGCTGCTTTTCATAAGTTTATGAATTTATGTTTCTCATTATAACGAATGGGTGGCGAAATACTTGCAACATTACAACTTTTCAGAGACATGTCTTCTGATCAAATAAGCGCATTTAAGTACTCGAAAAATATTATGTGACGATGCTTCAAGATGCGCTGTGTCTTGGCGAAATCTTCACGTGCGTATGATCAGCATCTGTAAAGCGGTGAATTCAGTGGCTGCAACGTCACAGGTTCGTCAAACAGAGCCGAGTTCTGGAACCTCCAGTTGTTGATACTACGGTTCGCTTGGTCCGCGGCCTTGCTTGGAAGAGTTGCATAAATGTGTTTTTAGTAAACATTTGCGAGTTGACACTGAATAGAATGGTAGCACGCCTCGCTCCTACTGGCTGGACCTTCAGTTGGCCGCGGCGAGTTGTGTGCCAGAATGTCAGGAAAGCATGTTTCCCCACTCTGGGCTCGCTGCCTCTAGCACATGATTGGGATTCCCTGAAGGCCCGTCCTTCATTCGCGACTCCACCTCGTCGGGAAGTCCATGGCTCCGAATCACAGTCATCAAAGCAGCAAAATACAAAGCCAGACCTTGGCAGCCTATGCAACCCGGGCACCATCAGCTCGCGTGATGGTGATAAAAGCACCAACCCCTCAGAGTTGCCCGCATCCGCCTAGTGCTGACAGCGGTCTCCGCGTTTCGCTGTTGACACACACACTCACACAGGAAGTCCTCCGATTAAGAGCTGTTTTCCTATTATGAAGTCAGTCACGGGACGGTGTCACGTTAACGACAGACGCCAAACTAGATGGCAAGAGCCTTGGCTTTGAGAACACGCCACAACATATGCGTTAACGCATCTAGTTCGTATCATTAATGTTAGGTCAGTGGTTTGACCCTAAGGATTGCGCTTTTCGTCGTTGCATCAAGCTGCAGAGTATCAAACCTAAACGTAACTCTCTCTCTCTCTCTCTCTCTCTCTCTCTCTCCTCTCTCTCCTCTCTCTCTCTCTCTCTCTCTCTCTCTCTCTCTCTCTCTCTCTCCTCCTCTCTCTCTCTCTCTCTCTCTCTCTCTCCTCTCTCTATCTCTCTCTCTCTCTCTCTCTCTCTCTCTCTCTCTCTCTCTCTCTCTCTCTCTCTCTCTCTTTCCCTCTCTCTCTCTCTCTCTCTCTCTCTTTCTCGTCCTTCCACCCCTCCCACTCGTCCCCTCTTTTGCCCTCACCGCCCTCGCCCTTGCCATTTAGGCTCTTATTGTGCCTAAATCGAGCACTTATTTGGGTTACCTTTAGCGTGCCAAGTGAAATGGCAATGAACCCCGGCCTCGTTACGGTCACTTTCTGTGTGGGATGCTGTGTATGCAACAGAGCGGAAATGATTGCGTGGTGATAAATACGCTTTCCAGAAAGCGACCTGTGCCAACCGTGAGCGAAGCACTCCACGTTGCTGATCCGCCACTGCTGCGTGCGCCGCGCCCCCTACCCGGTCCACGCTCGCCCCAGCAGCGTCCCTGCGGCTGCCGTCGGCCGCGAGCGCGCCGGACAACGCATGTTCCTGCGGCAAGGTCAGCGCCGACGACATGCCGCCCCGCCGCCGTACCGGCTACGGCGCGGCGGTGAGTTTCACTTTTGAGACAAACAAGCACCGGCCACGGTGGTGCTCGCCAGTCATGCCCTCGGGCGAGGCCGGTGCGGGTAATTGGACGGACAACGCCCTTCCCTCCCCTCGGGGCAGACGTGCTCGATGGACGGATGACGTTGTGCGTGACCTCGCGTTCGATGGCCACACTGACTCCTAGACCTCCCACTTGTCGGTGATGATGATTTTGGCGTCATGACACGCCGACCGCACTGGCTGTATGACACCCGAAATGAACTTCCCCAGACCCCCCCCCCCCACACTTAATTTGAGGACAGCTTGCTCCAACTGGCTGACGGTGCTTGGCACGCATCGTGACATGTCGGATGCAGGTATGACACGCCCGGTGGAAAAGGCTCCGTTTAGTGTGACGGTCAAAAGAAAAGGTAAACAATGTCACTCGGATTAATGTCATGTTATTTGCTTTCTTCTGGGCACACTGACACGTAGCTATGTTGTATTTTGATAAGTATATAGGAATTTGCTAATTTAGCAATGCCGTCCGCCGCCCGTTCCGGTCAATCCCCATGCACCGTTCCTAGAAAGCCGTCACTGATCAGAAACATGCCATGATAGAGACACATTTTGGTACCAAACCATTGGCAACAAATTCCTGAGAGGCTACCAGAATTTGGGTACAATTGTATGAAATATTGGAGAGATATCATTCGGAAAACCTCGGGGGACAGGTCGGAAGCATACCGATCCCCAACCTGTGGGGGCGAGTGTTTAAGAGAGGCCACTTTCTGCTGACGAAGAATGTGGTGAACTTATTGTGATAAATCCTTAGAAATCTATGTTGGTCATGCAAAAAAAAAATTCATTCAGGGAGGGCTAAAATCCATGATGGTTTTAACTTTCTGACGTCTGGGCTATCTGGACATTGCAGTTCGTAACCCAGTACAGAAATGAACGGTTCGTGAATGACTACCACACAACCAACCCATACGTACACAAGCTGAAAGCAGGAGAACGGAACAGATTGAGCAGGAAAATACATCCGAGTTCCTTTAAATACCGCGCTTTCAGGATCAGATGAAGTGTTATGGTCGACTACAAATGAGGGAAACGGGCCAGAACGTCAGATGTTCTACAGATAAGACATGGCCGCCAGTTACAACACCGTTTCCGGCCCACGAGCGGGGCTGACGAGCGGTGCCATCGGCAGAGCAAAAGAAAGGAGGTTCGGCTTCCGACTAGCCCTGAGTGTGACGGAGCTAGTCGCATGCATGGTGATCAGGAAAAGCCATCCTACCTCTTGTGACAAGCGGTGATATGAACCCTCCCCATGAAAAACCAGCACCGGCCAGGAAGTAATGTGGCTGGCTTTGTATGGATTTCAAATTGTTTCGGACTTGTTTTGTACTTTGTACTTTGGTTTGTATTTTGTCGAAGTGCTATGGTATAAAGGCTTACGTAAGTTTTATCTAAAATTTAGACTTCGGTAAGTGTTATTGTGATGGCTGTCAAAACAACATCCCTGTCTGGGTAAAGCGACAGTCCGCGTGCCAGCGTTCATAATGATACCTACAGCCGCGTTTGATTACCACCTGACGCGGCTTATGCGATCCTGACCATACAGAACCAGGGGACATGCCTCGGTCCAGTGCCAACTATGTCAATAGATGGCGCTCAGCGTACATGCCGGGGTACGGATGATCGCGCCGTGGTGATAGCAAGTGTGTTTTCACCCCGGTTTAATGACACTCCCTACAGCAATGCTCCTTACCCGCATGAGCACAGCAGTTAAGTAAACATTGCTAGCAGTGCGGGCCCAGTTAACACAATTATCAAGGACCGTTATCGATTGAGGGTAACAAGGCCGTATGTTGTTCAACGTATCATGGCTTATGATTTACCAATATAACGCAGCTAAATAACCAGGTCAAAATGAAGGCAGCATTCGTGACCAATCGTCCACAGACCTGAGTACGACAGAAATACGCAAGCATAGGGCTCTGGTCGGTGTTAAGGTCTCCGTGTGTTCCGCTGCCATGATCCATTGCATTCTCCAGTAATGCTTAAAACGCGCGTTGGCCCGTGTCCCAACTCAAATCGATGATACACAAATTTGACGGATTATTATGACTCAAGTTGTATTGCCCAATGGTGTGTTCTTGCCCCGACTTTCTTCAGCAGAGCTGCATCAATCGAACCGAGCAACGGCTGTTGAACTGATCGTTTAGAAGCATGTGACGCGTGCAATTACTAATGTCTTATGCATGGCGGCCTTTCACCAGCGATATCCCCGTTGCCAGATGTAGTTATCGGGAAGTGGATCTCATAGCTTTTGCCGTTGCGTTTATTTTATGTTCAGTTATACCCCAGTCTCGAGGCTGCAACACACCTTCACTTTTAGCATGACAGCTTCGTCACCTTGCGGTCATATACCTCACGATGTCCACAGGGACATCGCGAGGTATACGCCTTAGCTCTGGTGACAGTATGTCGAGGCAGAGCGCGCTTTATCTACCGACGCTAGGTCACATCCGGTGTCATAAAGTGAATCTGCCAGTCGAGGCCATCTCCACAGCTGCGAGACAAACCCGTCTGTTTACGGGTCCATTAGTCTGCCCGTCGTCTGCAGGCGGACGCCATGTCTGCCGGCAGGGCGGCGTCTGGCTGGCGGCCAGCGTCGCCGCCGGCAGCCGGGCCGCTCGTCGGGCGTGAGCGGGACACGCCGGGCGGCCGCCGGGCGTGGAGGGACGGCGTGGGACGAGCCCGCCAAGGTCGGCTCATCTATCGCGGCATCAGGTCGGCCTTCGGTGGATGCGGCGCGCCACACCCTAGCTGCGGGTGCGGGTCTCACACGGCGACGGCCGTGCCGCTCGTGACACAACCCACCGCCGCCGGGCGGCTCGGTTATGAGCTGCGGCGGGCCGCATTGGGAAACGCGTCTGCGTGGACATGGGCCGTATTGACACCTTGTGACTTGAAATAGTCGTCTAAATTATGAAGATTCGTCATTGGCGAATAGTTTGGTACGAATAGTAATAAGTATTCTTAAGTACCTGTAACGGACCACCAATCCCTGCAATTCATGGCCATTCAGAGTCTGCAAAATAAAACCAAAACCTTCTGTAAGCAATATGTAACGGATCAGGCCAGAACACCTAAATCTGCTGCACTAACTGTAATTACAAAGGGAGAACACGAGCAGCCATGTGTCTCAAGCATGCAAGAACTCGGCCGTGAAACAAATTTATTTTACGAACCAACCACAACACTGCACAGAATATTTGGTCGCCTGTAGCCACCTGGGGCGGGGGGGGGGGAGGGGGAGGATTATGAGTGCTTCTCTGGTATCTTAGGATCTAGTGTTAGGGGATGGTGAAAGCTTAACGGGAAGCAAGAGTTCCTGTTTGACATTTCCATGTGAATATTGATGCGCCATTGGAAACTTAGTTGGAAACAGACCGCAACATTGGAGACTATAACCCACTTGGAAACAAACCACTACATTGGAAACTACGTTGGATGCAACGTATACGTAGAAACAACGTATAACTACGTTGGAAACTATAAAAAGTATGACAAAAGAGTAAAATGAAAGAAATAGTATGATTTAAAAAACCAAGCGACTTATTTCCCTCTAAGAATATCCACAATGTTAGATGTGTATCATTATTATTGTGAACCCTGACATTATTCAGCGAGTAACTATCCCAACGCCGCGTCAGTACATGTCACATAGATAAACACAAAACACGCAACACATGCGAATGGGGCACAACGCCAGCAATACACCTACGATATTATAAAACATGAGCGACTAATGATACAAGATATGAAGAT